TTTCCTTCATATGAACTTCATGACCAACTGGAATTGATAGCAAAACATTGCCATTATGCAGTAAAACAGCTTTAAGACTCGTCTTCAATGAACAGTCTCCACACATCTGGATTGTGAACGATGTTGCGGGCTGCCATCACACCATCGAGGTTGTTGCAGGCTACAAGATCACCTTCCATGAGGAAGAATGGGACAAGATCCTTTTGACGGTCACGGAACGGGGAAACCCTAACATCACCTGCCAGGAGATTCCACTGCTGTAGTCTGGAGCCCAACAGCTCTGCCTTCCTCTTGGGTAGTTCCAAATCCCTGACAAGGTCATTCAATTCACCTTGTGTAATGAGGTGTGGTTCAGAGGAGGAGGATGGGAGAAAATGTGGGTTTTGTGACATTGATGGTTCAGGACCAGAAGTTTCATCCTCGTCCTTGTCTGACTCAAGTGAGAATGATTCTGGTGCATCAGGAACCAGCAGTCCTTCTCCATGGGCTACTGGGCGTATAGCTGATGGAATGTTTGGATAATGCACAGTCCACTTTTTCTTCTTTGACACACCTTTCCCAACTGGAGCCACCATGCAGAAGTAACAATTGCTGGTATGATCTGTTGGCTCGCTCCAAATCACTGGCACTGCAAAAGACATAGATTTCCTTTTCCTGTTCAACCACTGGCGAAGATTTGTTGCACACGTGTTGCAGCATATGTGGGGGGCCCACCTCTTGTCCTAATCTCCACTTTTGCAGCCAAAATAAAGGTGATAGGCTTTCTTAACCATAGTGGTTATACTGTGCTTTTGTGATGCAAAAGTCACTTCACCACAAACATAGCAGAAGTTATCTGCACTGTTCACACAAGTACAAGGCATCTCTGCTCACTTTGGCTAAACAGAAATGTGTCCCTTTGCAAAATCAAACACTGACAAATAAGAGAGCATGACACTCTATGATTTCTAGAGCTGATATAGGGCAATTTGTTCAGCAGAGTGATGTAAGCTTCGTTATGATTGCATCATCCATGACTTCTAGGAATAACATGATGCAATTCATATCCTGTATGACGCAATACCAGCTTCAGATTGCATCATTCATTGTTTTGCCTAAAAAGGAAGTACTGTCCAAACCCAGTCATAGATTTATTCATAGATCCAGTCAAAGATGTCTTTTAGTCATTTCTGGTTTAAAGTGAGATCCCTTCCCTTTATAACTCACTTATCCTCCGCCATTCCCAAGTCAAGGGTCGTATATACTGACCCAATAGCATATCTTGAAAACTAGAGCCAATCAACAATTTTAAGCATCATTTTCATTCTCAGTGACCCAGAATTAGTAAAGTTTGACTACATTTATTTCAGAAGCATTTTGGCTGTAGAGCAGTGTTACCCAAGCCTGTCCAAATTTATCTACCATACTAGACCCATGTATATGAGTCTTCCAACACCAAGTATTGATCAAGAGACAGACTCATTCCTTAGTCTCCAACAACAGGGCACAAATTGGTGACAAATGCAATGTTGATATTTCTCCACCAGAATGTGGGCTAAGACTTACTAATTCATATCACAGAGGTCATCAACTCTCTATCAACGTAGATCTCCATCAACCTTTGTCTTTGGTCCTGTGGCCCATGCTGACATGAGGAATTGAATTCACACAGTACACTACTGAAGACCTTCTTAAGTTTTACTTTGAGGGTTAGGCGTAATGTAAGTCCTTCTCCATGCAGATTGATTTTCACCCTAACGAGTACAGAATCTGGCAACTGGCTCTGGACTGGAACAAGTGACAACTTCTGTATTCTATCCACAAACACAATTGCTCTCGTGTTGGCAGCTGATGTATATTTAAGAGCTCAGACCTACCATTAAAATGGGGTGTCCATGTTGCCAAGCCTAGTGATTTTATTACAAGTTTTACACGGAGTTGAGGGGCTATTGAGTCACATATCCTGATTCTTCTCTCGCATGTCTTACACTATTATGGGGAGTAGCTTCTGATTCAGGGTCTAGTCCTACCTCAGTTAAATCAATTGGAAAATTGGACAGGTATTTTCAAATGTGCCTAAAAGAATTTAGGTGCCAAATCACATTAATTTAAATTGGATTTGGGCACCTAACTCCCTTAATCTCCTTTGGAAATGCCAGTCTATATCTCTGTAAGGGGAATGAAGATCAGGTGCATAATTTCAGCAATTATGTTATTCCTTACTTAAATTTTATTTTGTCCTTAACCTAGGATATTATCATTGTATTTACCGTGATTATGCCTGATATTGCTTGGTAACTTTCACACCCATGTGGATGACAAATGCTCTGACCAGCTCAGGATTTCATGAGCACAATGACAACCTAATGGAACTGGATAGCTAAGTATTAGGGCTGAGATCCATAGAGTTACTAAAGAGGCGAATAGGTGCCTAGCCAGGTTTTCAAAAGCATGTCAGTGTCTAACTTCTATTGAAGTCCATAGGATTCAAAATGTACTACATTAAAACACACTAGGGAACATCTAGTGCACACCAGCAGGGTCTAACTGGACCAATTAATGTGCAACATGCTACTGAGCTTTAGAATTCACACCCCCATGATGTGCATTGCAGTGCCAGGTAGAAAAGCCCTGAGAAGCCTTAGGGCAAAATTTTCTAAATACCTAGGTGACTTAGGAGCTTACATCTCATTGGCTCTTTAGTCAATTAGCTGCATTTGAAAATTTAAACATAAATCCTATTTTCAAAGGTGACTGAGGGCCAGATTTGTCAAGGTATTTAGACTCCTAATAAGATTTGCAAAAGCACCTAGGCACCTAATACTCACTGATTTCAATGGATGTTGGGCAACTAGGAAGTTGGAAAATTCCACTAGGTGCCTAAATGCTTTAAAAAATCTGGCCCTTGGTCTTGTCTATACAAAGAAGACACAGCAGTTTAACTCAAATATGGTTAGTTAATCCGATGCAATTCTTGTACCTTTGTTTGGAGAAAGTAGTTAAGGACCTTAAGGTCAATGGCAATTGCGACAAATTACAACATGGTTTTACGAAAGGCAGATCGTGCCAAACTAACCTGATCTCCTTCTTTGAGAAAGTAACAGACTTTTTAGATAAGGGAAATGCGGTGGATCTAATATACCTCGTTTTCAGTAAAGCGTTTGATATGGTACCGCACGAGGAATTATTGATTACATTGGAAAAGATGGGGATCGCTATGAAAATCCAGAGGTGGATAAAGAACTGGTTAAAGGGGAGACTGCAGCGGGTGGTACTGAAAGGGGAACTGTCAGGTTGGAGGGTAGTCACCAGTGGAGTTCCTCAGGGTTCAGTTTTGGGTCCGATTTTATTTAATCTATTTATTACTGACCTCGGAACCAAATGTAGGAGTGGGCTGATAAAGTTTGCGGATGACACAAAGTTGGCAGGTATTGCCAATTCGAAGAAGGGTCGGGATATCCTGCAGGGAGACTTGGATGACCTTGTAAATTGGAGTAATAGTAATAGGATGAAATTTAATAGTGAAAAGTGTAAGGTGATGCACTTAGGGATGACTAACAAGAATTTTAGTTATAAGCTGGGGACGCATCGGTTGGAAGTAACGGAGGAGGAGAAGGACCTCGGAGTCCTGGTTGACCGAAGGATGACTATGAGTCGACAATGTGACGTGGCCGTGAAAAAGGCTAATGCGGTCTTGGGATGCATTAGGCGAGGTATATCTAGTAGGGACAAGGAGGTGCTGCTTCCGTTATACAAGGCACTGGTGAGACCTCATTTGGAGTACTGTGTGCCGTTCTGGTCTCCCATGTTTAAAAAGGATGAACTCAAACTGGAACGGGTACAGAGAAGGGCCACTAGGATGATCAGAGGAATGGAAAACCTGTCGTATGAAAGGAGACTCGAGGAGCTAGGTTTGTTTACCCTAACCAAAAGACGGCTGAGGGGGGATATGATTGCTCTCTTTAAATATATCAGAGGGATAAATACCAGGGAGGGAGAGGAATTA